ATTTATTCAGAGATCACAATATCATAAAATGCATTGTCTCTGACAGACATAAGATTCTTATTTTACTATTGAATTAAGATCTGAGGAATAAATGATAAAAGATCCATTGGCATGGAAAGTGATACATTTACCCATGGGTTGCTGCATGTAAATTTGGTAACAGAAAGACTTAAGAGAGGAAGGGTGATTTACATGCAGCATGAATGTTTCTTTCTTGTCTCTCATCTCTCTCTGTCTCTTTCTCTCTATGTACCTACATATCTTAGGTAATTGTATATTGGGTAGTATTAGTGGATCCTTAGTGTGTACTCAATAACCAGAGAATGTGTATTTTTATTTTTTATTAGAAGCAAAAGGGAATATTTTAAAAATTGACAATATACTTGGCCACAATGTGAAAGTCAATAAATAATGAGATATCAGTAGCATCCAGACCATGTAGTCTGCAATATAGTTCAATAAAAATAAGGTGATGATTGAAAAAGCCCCAAATATATTAGAATACTAAAAGCAACTGAGTAAACCCTAAGAAAGGAGAAGGAACGTAATAAAAATTGCTGCAGTAGGAAGTAAAAAGTAAAAACGATGGAAAATAAACAAACTAATAGAGAGCCTAACAAGCTTTATTAGAAAGATTAGTAAAGTAGAAAAACTTCTGGCAGGATGGATGATAGAAAAAGGAAAAAACAGATGGCATGAGTAAACAACATCAGAAATAGAAAGGAAGAAATAGGCACAGATATGGCACAGATCTATAAAACGTGTAAGAGAAGCCTATGGGCAATGCGTGACAATAAAATTGAATATCTAAATGATGGAAATCTCCTAGGAAAGTATAACTTAAAAGATATATGACATAAAAGATATGAAGGTATAAGGATGGGAAAGAAAAAAGCTGTCATATGCAGAAAATATAACTTTATACATAGAAATTCAAAAGAATCTAGTGGTCATTATTCAGCACCATGGCTGAATATAAGATCAAGATATCAACATTAGTAATGCTTCCATATAACATCAACTAAAATTTTAAAAAAGTACTTAAAAATGAACACAATATAAAACTAATAAACTGCTTAGAAATAAATTTAATAAAATGTGTTCAAGTGTCTCTTGAAGGAAATCACAAAACCTTATTGGAAGATACAAAATAAGACCTAAATAAAGGTTAATAGCATATTCATAGATTAAACAATTCTCTTTGTGTAAAAGGGGTAAGGAATATTTCTCAGAATAAATGATATCTGAAATGTCTTTTAAAGGTGCCAAGGACTCCGGTTGAGGAGGTACAGCAGTGAGGAGGAAGGAATATTTTGGGCAGAGAAAATAGTATTGTTCCTTGTGTCACAAGTAACCAGCCTGATGCATTTGGGAACAATTTGGCATTACCTGAGAATGAAATGGAAGGGGATATGAGTTGGTTGGAGTTGTGGTTAGAGAGTTAGATGAAAGCTATTCATACAAATTGTGTGGATATCTTTTCTGTACACAATAGTTCACTTAAATAAAAAGCATTTAATATAAAAGAGTATTTTTGAATTATGGAGGGAAAATGGTGAATCAGGATGTCAGGTGGCAGAAATGGATATGAAAAGTAAAGATTTGGGGCCACATGGACCATCAAGATCAGATTTAATCTCAGCCTCCAAGTGAATTAGTTTCATCATAAAAGGTCACTTATCAAATTCAAGGATATTTCAAGCAAATTTTTCCTTAGATTGACTAGTACTTGAGTGAGTCCCTGCCTCAAAATCAAACATTCTACTGTCGGTATCTAAATGCCAATACAGATTACATTCTCTCACACCTTGACTCCTCCACCAGGACTATTCCAACCTTGTCAATTGTGATGCTGACACTGCACTTATTTTTTCCTATCTACTCTTTCTTCCCTTGACAGATTCCCAAAGGATATATAATGTTCTTTAAGTAACTGACTAGGTCTCTGCCATAGAATTCAGGGACAGCTTTTGTAGGTATAATTTTGTTAAAGGACTGATATGTCAAAATCTTTTACTTTTTGCATAACTTCCATCAATGGCTGATATATCATCATGTTCATCAAACCTTTTGTACTATACTAACTTTGCAGATTGCTTCACTATGTCTAGCATGTATTTTTGCATAAATATTTCCAGAATATAGAGACCATAAGCATAGCAAAAACTTCCTAAACAATATTCACAAGGACTTCTAAGGATGCTCACACACTTCTTTCTGAATCAAAGAAGTGTAACTTGCAATTCACTTCCTGGCAACAAAAATTTCTTGATGTAAGAGGGCAACTAGGAGATTATTATAAAATAACATATTTCTTAGGAGTTTTGTGTTTATATTTGGGGATGATTTTTTTTCCAATTCTCTTGAAAAAAATAGGTATTTATTTACTCAGACTACTCAGCTAAACCTGCCTGAAGGCCAAGGGACGTGTTATTTTTGGCCATATGATATCTCTCAGAATTGTAATTTGAAATTGATGTGTGAATGTATTTAAGTATATAAGCAATATAAGTACAGAAATATCTACCTACACAAATATGTGACCTATAAATCTATTCTTAAAAGAATAAAGGTAGACAATGTCATCTTTCAGTGGGCCTAAATCTAGCTGCCATTCTCTCTAAGTCAACACATGGTCCTTTTATAATTGTCTTCCTGAAAACCCTCTATGTGGTAAGTCAGGTTGGTGTAGAGAGATGTGTGTGTCCCTGTTTGCACTCTGTTGTTTTCTTCAGATGAAATGTTCTCCTTTATTCAGATGTTACTGTGCCTCATGGACTTCCTCAAGCCATAGGCTTCATTGAACTATTCCCTAATAACAAAATAGTACTGAGGTATAATTGAGACACGAAGAACTACATATATTTAAGGTATACAACTTGATGACTTTGGACATATGCAAATACCAATGATACCATCATCACAAATAGGATAATAGACATATCCAGAACCACCTAGGGTTTCCTTCTGTCCCCCAACTATTTGTTTTTTTTGTGATAAGAACATTTAACATTAAATTTGCCCTCTTAACAAATTTTGAATTGCACAATATTGTATTGTTAAGTATAGGCATCATGTTATAAAATGGATCTCTATAACTTCTTCATCCAGCATAAATGAAATTTTATACCCATTGAATAACAACTTCTATTTGTCCTGTCTGGGCTTAGGTATCATTTCTTAGGGCAAATTTCCCTAACCACACCAAATGGATTTATTCCACTACTATATGTGCCCATTCACATCCAATGTATCTTCACCCTAATTGTTTATTTAATCATCCATAATTACTTATTTAATGTCTAATGCATCCACTAGAATGTACGTTTCATGAGGGCAGAGACCTGTTTGGTTCATGCCTGTTCCTTTGGCACCAAACATATTGCCTGAAAAAACCAAAGCAACACACACATGCATACACACACACACACACACACACACACAAAGTTTAACCAACTTGCTTAATGATGGAGGGGTTATGTTTTATATCCTCATAGTGCCTAGACATAAACTTTTTTGATTAATCCTTGCTTTATTTTAATAAAATGAGGAGCCACATTCATATGGAAGGAAATCAAGATTTATGAATATCTGAGGACATGGGAGACTCCCACAAACATTTGAAGGAATATGTCATCAGCAAGAATATCAACATCAGCACCAGCATTTAACAACATCACCAAACATGTAAGTTTGGCCAGAAATATAACAAATACTACTGAGCACTTATTATTTTCCAGCTACTGCTCAAGACATTTGAGATAGATATATCAGTGACCAAAACAGAAAAATCCGCCCCCGTCTAATAACAAAATTTACATTCTAAGGCAGGAAAAGATAGGCAATAACCATAATAAATAAGTAAATTCTACAAAACTGAGAAGATGGTGAGTGCTATGGGGAAAATAGAGCAGAACAAGGGAAATTGGGAGTTCAATTCTAAGTAGGGTGAACAGGTAGGCCTCATTGACTACACTGGAAAAAATTTTACTCTAATTATGAGGAAAATAAACAGTGTAAAGGCAGTAAAATGTTCTATAAAAGATTAAATCAAATATCTGAATACAGAGGGGGAAAAAAGACCTGAGTGAGTCAGAGACTTTAATTAAGTGGAGGGGAGAGAGGTTTTCACTTTGATTTATAGTTTTTTTTTGGTCTTAATAAAATTTATGTTTTATTGATGTTTCACATGCATAGAAAAATACACACAAGCTATAAATATGTATCTTAATGGATACTGTATAATAAACATTTCAATGGATATCACAAAATAAAAAGAAAAGCAGACTAGAATTTTGTAACAAACATAAGTAACAACTACCTAAGCCAGAAAATTAAACATGACTAGCAACCGAGAATCCCCTTCAACTCCTTCCCAGGATAATTTGCTCCCACCTTTCCTGGGTAACAAATATTCTGAATCTCAAAAATATCTATGATGCTTTGTAGGTTTCTATTTTGAGGACTTGGACTCTATTAATACATCAATTCTTGGATAATTGATATTTCTGATTTTATTTTAAGTAGCATATATTTTCAAACTTTATTTTTGTAAACTCCTTTTTTTCTGATAAATGGAAATGCAATTGATTTTCCATATTATCTTATAGCTAACTACCTTGTAAATTTATTCATATATTAAAAGTTTATCTATAAATTAAAATTTTCTGTGAAAAATGAGAACCATTTCTTCCTTTCAAGTTCTTACATCTTTTTTCTTCTTGCCTTTTTCACAGCCTATATTGTCAAGTATAATGTTGAACAAAATTGATGATAGAGGGTATAATTATTTTGTTCCCAATATCAGGAGGGAATTGTCCAATAGGTCACCATTACAAAAGATTTATAGTTTAAGATGAACTTTTCAACGAAATTAACTTCGAGTTACAATAAAATCAAATAAAGAGTGTTATATCATTTGTATATCATTTGCTAAGAGAAACCAAAGCATATTTTTAATTAAAAGTTCAAGTTATTTAGAGATAAGATGAGAATCTTACCATTTTTACTGATGTCGAGTTCTTTAAGATTAACTAAACTAGCAATAGTGGTTGGCAGATTTGAAAGATCATTATCAGGAATACTTAGTTTTCTTAGAGCTTGACAGTTGAACAATTGCTGTAAAAGAAAATAATGATTAATTAGATCTCAATTTGATTAAATCCTTTCATACATAAACTCAGAAACAAAATTCAATTCACCATCTTTATAAATGGGGTAATAAAAGGGCCAGCTGCAAAAGTCTCACCTCCCACAGTCATACTCTCAATTCTTTTCAGAATGCTTCACATTCCATCTCCATGTTCATGCTTCACTATTCTCTGCTATCCAAGTTCAAAACACAAGGTATTCTATTTTTCCCCTTCTGTTTACTATTAATGTTAAATTTACCCTTGATCCTACTGATTTTTTTCTTTCAAATACTTTCTGGAGTTGTGCCTTTCTTTCTATTCCCACAGCTACCAGGATAATCTCAATTCTCTTTCTCTGCAACCATGTAGTACTTCCATTTGATCATGTTTGACAATTTTTAATATAACATCCAACAACTGCACTACAACTGAATACATGGGCTCACATTTCTTTTATGTCCCTCCACACTGCTTCACAAATACCTAGCAAATGAAATATTTAACTTTTGAAATTTGGTAAAAAAAAATAACTAGTGATTGGTTCATTTCTGTCATCAGTCCAAAGTACTATGTGGGGAAGAGTCAAGTGTTAAAGCAATAGTTCTCAAATCCAACATGGTTCATTTCTGGGTTTTTTATTCTGTTCCATTGATTTATGTCTGCTTTTGTGCCAGTAGCATACTGTTTTGATGACTACAGCTTTGCAATATAACTTGAAGTCCAGATTGTGATGCCTCCACCTTTGCTTTTCTTTTTCAAGATTGCTTTGGCTACTCAAGGTCTTTTGTGCTTCCATACAAATTTTAGGATTGTTTGTTCTAGCTCTGTGAAAAATGCTCTTGGTATTTTGATAGGGGTTGCATGAAATGTGTAGATTGCTCTGGGTAGTATAGACATTTTAACAATATTTGTTTTTCCAATCCATGAACATAGAATATTTTTCCATTTCTTTGTGTCATCTTCAATTTCTTTCATCAGTGTTTTACATCTTCAGAGTAGAAATCCTTTACCTCTTTGGTTAGGTTTACTCCTAGGTTTCTTATGGTTTTTGGTGCAGTTGTAAATGGGATTAATTCCTTGATTTCTCTTTCTACTGCTTCATGATTGGTGCATAGAAATGCAACAGATTTCTGTACATTGATTTTGAATCCTGCGACTTTTCTGAATTTGTGTATCAGTTCGACAGATTTTTTGGTGGTGTCTTTTGGGTTTTCTATAATGGAAAAAGTCTCTTCAACAAATGGTGTTGGGAAAACTGGATGGCAACATGCAAAAAAATGAAACTGGACAACTTTCTTACATCATACACAAAAGTAAATTCAAAATGGATGAAAGATCTAAATGTGAGACAGAAAACCATTAAAATCCTAGAGGAGAACACAGGCAATAACCTCTTTGACATCGGCCATAGCAACTTCTCATTAGATATGTCTCCTGAGGCAAGGGAAACAAAAGCAAAAATAAACTATTGAGACTTTATCAAAATAAAAAGCTTTCTACACAAAACTATCACCAAAACTAAAGGCAACTTTCAGAATGGGAGAAGATATTTGCAAATTATATTGTTTGATAAAGGGTTAGTATCCAAAATCTATAAAGAACTTATAAAACTCAACACCCAAAAACTAAATGATCTAGTTAAAAAATGGGCAGAAGACATGGATAGACATTTTTCCAAAGAAGACATACAGATGGCTAACAGACACATGAAAAGATGACCAACATCACTAATCATCAGGGAAATATAAATCAAAACTACAATGAAATATCACCTCATACTAGTCAGAATGGCTAACAACACAGGAAACAACAGGTGTTGGCAAGGATGTGGAGAAAGAAGAACCCTAGAACCCTCTTGCACTATTGCTGGGAATGCAAACTGTGTAGCCACTCTGGAAAATAGTATGGCAGTTCCTCAAAAAGTTAAAAATAGAACTACCCTAGGATCCAGCAATTTCACTACTAAGTATTTACCCAAATGATATAAAAATACTAATTTGAAGGGATATATGCAACCTGATGTTTGTAGCAGTATTATTAACAGTAGCCAAATTATGAAAAGAACCCAAATGTCCTTTGACTGAAGAATGGATAAAGAAGATGTAATATATATACACAGTGGAATATTACTCAGCCATCAAAAAGAATGAAATCCTGCATTTGTAAATGACGTGGATGGAGCTAGAGACTATTGTGTTAAGTTAAATAAGTCAGTCAGAGAGAGATAAATACCATATGATTTCACTAATATGTGGAACTTAAGAAACAAAACAAATGGACATAGTGGGGGAAAATAAAAGCGAGAGGGAAACCAAGAAATAGACTCTTAACTATAGAGAACAAACTGATGGTTACTGGAAAGGAGGTGGGTGGAAGGATGGGTTAAATGGGTGATGGGTATTAAGGAAGGCACTTGTTGTGATGAGCACTGGGTGTTGTATGTAAGTGATAAATCACTAAATTCTATACCTGAAACTAATTTACATTGTATGTTAACTAACTGGAATTTAAATACAAACTTGGAAAAAATGAAATTAAAGAAAAAGAATTGATAGAGATCCCTATATTCTTCTCCAATTTTATTTTATTTTTTTAAAGAGTTTACTTATTTGAGAGAGAGACAGTGCAAGCATGAGTTGGGGGGAGGGCATAGGGAGAGAGACAAATAGATTCTGAGCAGGGAACCTGACACAGGACTTGATCCCAGGACCCTGAGATCATGACCTGAGCCCAAGGCAGACACTTAACTGACTGAGCCACCCAGGTGCCCCAATTCTTCTCCAATTTTAAATGAAGCTATATCAGGAACAAAAGCTTTGGAAACTCCTGAACACCCTATTACATGGAGAATCTGACTCCTGTGGTATTGAGGCTAAGAGCATGGTGTTTGGAATCAGCTTGATGTGGGTTCAATTCTCATGCATCTAGTTACTAGCTGTGTGATCTTGGGCAAGTTACCTAATGCCTCTGAACTCTATGAATTTCCTCATTTGTAAAAATGGGAAAAATAACATTGCCTAACTCAAGGGTTGTTGAGATGATTAAATGAGTTACTATATTTCATTAGTTTTAAGTACTGAATTTTTTCACATATTAACATCTTTGATTTTTGTAATGAATCCTATAATCAAGAGCAAGTTATAATTTTGGGAGTTCCTGGGTGGCTCAGGTGGTTAACTGTCCAAATTTTGGTTTTGGCTCAGGTCATGGTCTCAGGGTTGTGAGATCAAGCCCAAAGTCAAGCTCTGTGCTCAGCACAGAGTCTGCTTGAGATTCTCTCTCTTCTGCCCCTGTCCCTGCTCACTCGCTTTCTCGCTCTCTCTCTAAATAAACAAATAAAATCTTCAAAAAAAAAAAAAAAACAGGCTATAATTTTTAAGGAGTGTATCTTCCTTTGTGGTACAATAATGACATGTCTTATAATCACTAGCCTTGGAATTAATGAAACGAATCACTTTTAAAAATGTAAAACTGTGTTTGGCACATAGTAAGAGCTAATAACTGCTGGCCATTCTGAATATTTGTATACACAGATACAGAGGCACACTTATATAGTAATCTATTTCTTATTTTTCTTTTTTTTTAAAATATTTCATTTATTTTTTTGACACAGAGAGAGAGCACAAGCAGGGGGAGCAGCAGCAGAAGAGGGAGAAGCAGTCTTCTCCCTGAGCAGAGAGCCTGATACAGGTCTCGATTCCAGGACCCTGGGATCATGACCTGAGCTGAAGGTAGACACTTAACCAACTGAGCCACCCAAGCGCCCCGTATCTTATTTTTCTAGATCATGAGGTCTTCGAAGGTGGGAGTCATGTCTAATTCATCTTGATATCAACTTGTTTCACCTTTGTACATGCCAAAGTGACTAGCACCATGTGTATGCTGCATAAATATCTTTGAAAGTACACTTAGATAAGTCAAGGGAAAATGAGGACAGAGATAAATTCCAGCTGAGAGTGGTACTTCACTGAACTGGAAGTTTCAGATAGGTAAACAATCTCAGTGGAATCTAAATTTCATAAACAAAGCAGTGAATTTTGAATATGAGTCATGATGTCTACAAATTGGCAAAGAAATTAAGAAGGCATTTTAATGATTCTTTCAAGATTCAAGTTTTGAATGAAAATGAAATAGAATGATTATGAACTAGCTGTGATTCTTTCATATAGTATAAAACAGCAAATATAATTAATAGCTAATTAGAGTAAGACTTAATAATGGTAATGGTTATCCTGTCTTTCATTTGCTAATGATATTTCACATTTCAAAAACATTAAAACTGTTTTGAGTCTTAAAATATTTTTGCACTGAAGTGTTCTCTTTCTTGGGCGAAAGGAAACAATTTAACTCTGACAGAAATTGGTTTGAGAAGAGTATGCAATTTAAATCACTGACTCCAGAAAGCCATGGTTAGATATTTTCTAAGGAGCTGACAGAAAAGATAAAGGCCTGAGTGTGGAAAATAAAACATATTTAGACCCAAAAATGTATATTCTAAGAGGTATATTATTCATTTATTCATGGAAAACCATGAATTGATATTTGCTACAAACGAGATACTATGCTAAGTGCAAGGGACACAAAGTGACTAAGACACAGCAACTGAGCTCAGATTGCTTACAGTTTAATATTTACACAATAAATTAATTAAATGTGAAAAAAAACTGTGTGAAGATAAATATCAGATGTTATGTAAACACAGAAGTAGGATATCTGCACCAAATTATGTTGATGATAGTGGTGGGGTGGATTCATGAAAGTATACCTGGAAGGGTGATGAAAAAATGGATCACCCAAGACCTGGCACAAGTTAGGTAGATGAAGGCTAAAGAGCGATACCATTATAACTTTCTGTAGCATACAGAGATACTCCCAACTCAAAGAATGTGTAACCTAATCTAGTTTCAGATGATTTGTTTTAAAGCATGAGGAGACTTGGATCTTGGAGTGAATGCTTTGAGTCTGCATTTACATGCATTTAAAATA